GTCAGCTTTCCTGCTCCTCTGATGCTGCCTGGCCTGCTGTGTTCATCCAGCTCTACACCTTGTTATCTCAGACTCCAGCATCGGCAGTTCCTACTATTTCCAAGCATGCCATACGCCTTCTTTATCACCCTACCTACTTGTGTGGCCACTTCTCTTGAAGATATGGACTTGAACTCCAAGATCCCTCTGTAAATCAATGCTATTCAGGGTCCTGCCATTAACTGTATACTTTTCCTTAACAGTTGATCTCCCAAAGTGCAGCACCTCACACTTACCCAATTTAAACACCATCTGCCATTTCTCCACCCATATCTACAAATGATCTATATCCCATTTTGACAACCTTCTACAGTATCCACAAATCCACTGATCTTTGTGTTGTCTGCAAATTTACTAACCCGCCCATCTAAATTTTCATCCAAGTCATTTAAGTATTTCATAAATAGCAGAGGTCCCAGTACGGATCCCTGTGGAACACGAACATCCAGCCTGAAAATCACCCTTCCACCACTACCCTTTGCCTTCTATGGGCAAGCCAGTTCTGAATCCAAGCGGCCAAGTCATCATGGATCCAATGCATCTTAATCTTCTGGATGAGCCTACCATGAGGGATCTTGTCAGAAGCCTTACTAAAACCATGTAGACAACATCCACTGCTCTGCCCTCATCGATCACCCTTGCCACCTCTTCAAAACATTCACTTGTTACTAAGACATGACTTGCCCCACACAGGGCCATGCTTTTCCAAATGCTTGTAAATCCTATACCTATCCCTAAGAATTCTCTTCAATAGCTTCCCAACCACCATGCGAGACTCACCAGTCTATAGTTTTCATCTTTTAGATCATGCAATGTCAATTTTACAATTGCCTGTAGAAAGGCTAATCTGCTGTCTGCATGTATTAAGAAATCATGACCAGCAATTTTCTAGTAAGCCGGTAAGCAAAACCTCTCATCAGGAATATGCATTCATAAAATTATCTCTTGAATACAAACAGGTTTTTGAAGGAACTACATACTAAGTGCCAGTTTGTTCTTTACATTGTCTTGATTAAGTCTGTATCATCCAGCATATTTATTTTAAGACTTTGATATTATTTTTGATGTGCAGGATGGATAAATTAAAAAGAATATTGAATTACATAGCTGCATTGAGATTGAAATTACATTTTAAAATAAGTAATAATCAAAAGATAAAGCTCCCATTTCAGTTTATCTTTCTGAATTCATGCCTACATTGTACCTGCATTGAAATGAGTTTGCATATTCTTCTCTGCATTTACCAAAGTCCTGTATACAACATAATGTGTGGAAAAATCAATTAACAAGATTACTGCTATTCAGTAAAAATGATAAAGTTGCATTTGTGATTTTGAGAATTTTAGGAAGAATTGATATTTTATTATCTGTTTATGATTAAAAACTAGAGGAAATGTGTAGTGACATAACTCAAAATCTTCTTATGTTAGTGTATGTTTTCAGAAAAGCAAGTGGGACAGCAGTCGCTCAATGCGATTTAACCAGGACGCTCAAAGAGAGGAAGGTATGTCAACTGATGTTAAGATCTGTAATTACACAGTAACAATTTAAGTGGCGTAGATTCTGGTGTTAGTTACAAAATATTAACTGCCACAGATATTTGGCAAGCTTTTTAATGCAGATTTCCTCCAATCTGGAGACTTTTCCAGCAGGGCATCCATTTACAAGGGATTTGTGATCAGGATCAGAAACAGCAAATAAAAACAATGTACTGCAAATGGTGGAGATCTGAAACAGCCAGGTTCTTCAACAAATCAGATTAAAATTTGAGTGATTTAGTTAAATTCAAAACTAGTGCCTTAAATTGAACAAAGCAACTACAAAGAAATAAGAGACGAATCGATTAAATTTGGAAACTACAATTTAAAAATGTGACACTAGACATACGGTTCCAAAATGTCATCAAATCGTTCGTAATTCATCACAAATATATATTCACTTAGGGATAAAGACTCCATTAAAAAGGCACAGCTAAAGAGAAATTAAGAATTATGTTTGATTAAAGGAAGAGGCTTATCATCTTGCCGAAGAAGAGGATGATAATTGGTGATTTGGAAAGAAGATAGATTTCAGAAATGGTTGATTAAGAAATTGATATAGTAAGAGAATGAGAATAAGTTAGCAAGAGACATAAGAATGAATTATAAAAGCTTCTTTAAGTATGTAAAGTTGAAGAAATTAGCAAAAGTGAACATGGGTCCCTTTTTAACATAGTGTGGAGCTAGAGGAGCACAGCAGGCCAGGCAACATCAGAGGAGCAGGAAAGCTGACGTTTCGAGTCGGGACCCTTCTTCAGAAAAACCTGACTCGAAACAGCTTTTCTGCCCCTCTGATACTGCCTGGCCTGCTGTGTTCCTCCAGCTCCACACTGTGTTATCTCTGACTCCAGCATGGGCAGTTCTTACTATCTCTGATGGGTCCCTTTTTATTTTTCTCACTTTCGAAGATGTAAACACATACCACAATTTGTGGTGAGCTAAGGGTGTGGTGAGAGGAGGAGTTTAAAGGAATTAACATTCATAAATAAAATTATCACTAGAGATTTTTATTTTAAAAGGTCAACAAAACTCCTGAAGCTGATGGCCTCTCTGGAGTTTTAAAAATGGTGGCTATAGTCATAGTAAATGTATTGCTTTGATCTGTTAGAATTACTAAGCTTCTAGAATGATCTCAATGGATTGAAAGGTAGAAATAGAAAACCCTGCTCTTCGAGAAAGAAGGAGATCAGGAAACGAGGAAATGAAGGGCAATTAGTTTGGCAGGAGCAGTTGCGAAATGCCAAAATCTGTTATTAGAGATGTAGTAACACAGCACTTGGAGAATTTTATAATGTGATTGGGCCTAGTCAACATGGATTTAAGAAAAGGAAATCGTGTTTAAAAGACCTGTTTGGAGTTAGCTGGAACATGTAATGTGAAAGTTAGGTAAAGTAGAACCAGTGGATAGATTGTACTGTATCTGAATTCTCAAAGCTACAAAACTGAAGTGTTACACAAATGGAGTTATATGGTTTGAGGATCAGTTAACAGATCAAAAACAGTGACAATGAGCAGGTCATATCAGTTATTTACGGTCTTTATTAACTGACTTAGCTGAAAGGAATAAGTATAATATATTCAAGTTTGCTTTTGATGCAAAACTAAGTTGGACAATAAGAGGAGGATTGAGATGAAGAAATCTTTTTTCACTGTAGCGAATCTTTGGAAGTCTTTCCCAGAGAGCTGTGGACTCTATGGTTAGATTGAAGATAGAGATCAGAGAATTTTGGATATGGAAGGAATTGAGGGGCATGGGTATCATTGCAGGAGGATGGAGCTGAGGTAAATGTCAGCCAGGCCATTATTGAATGGCAGAGCAGACTCAAAAGACTAAATTTCTGCTCCTATTTCTTATATTCATTTCTTCAGATGGAGATATCATCAAAGACACAGGCAAAATCCCAAGCTCAAAGTATACAGTAGTTTAATTGATGTAGAGAGAAAAAAAATGAGAAATAGAAATGAGATTAAAGGAAAGAGATATGCAAACAGGCAGAAAAACTAGAAACCAGGCCTAACTTTTTAAACATCTTTAGATTGGAACTGGTGGACAGTCATTTCATTGCTAGTCTATCAGACCAAAACTGTGAAGAAGTTGGGTTCACTGACATCAGCTTCTGTACTCCTGTATGTATGGCTACTGCACATTATTTCTGACTTAATCCATTGTAAGAGTGACCATGAAGTCTCATTGTTAATAGCTCAAAATCCTGGCTATATAAATAACATTGGTTCATTGCAGCAGTAAGACCGTGGATAATCAGTAGTAGTTTTAAAATGTATGTATTAATATTAGCTTTAGACCATTCAGGAGAGATGTTAAAAAGCACATCTGTGCACAAAAAGCTGTAGATATTTGGGACTCTATTCCATAAAATGGCAGTAGATACTAGATTAGTTGTTCATTTTAAATCTGAGGTAGATAAATTTTTGTTAAGCAAAGGTATTAAGGGATATGGGCCAAAGGAAGATATATGGAGTTAGGCCACAGATCAGCCATGATCTCTTAGAATGGTGGAACAGGGGCTGATTTGCACATTCCTATTCTACTGTAACTGTAACTCATAACATAAAATTGTACATACCCAGCTTATACTTTTCAATCTATTGCATAAATTTCTGATATTCTCAGTATCAAAATTGGAACTGTTCTTTGATTTCTCTTTAACCAGAATTATGAATATATGATCAAGAAAAAAGAGTAGGTCACTCCACCCTTAGAACCTGCTTCACCATTCAATAAGATCAAGACTGACTTGGTTTTAACCCCTGCTGTACATTGCTGCATGTCCCTTGGTAATCAAAGATCTATCTACCTCTGCCGTAAAAAATATTTAAAGATTTTGCATCTATTGTCTTTTGAGGAAGAGAATTCCAAAGTCTCTCATCCCCCAGAAAGAAAAAAATGCTATCGCATCTCTGTTTTAAATGACACTCTGTTATTTTTAAACTATGACCCTAGTTCTACATTCTGCTACAAGAGGAAGGTCTTTTCAGCATCCACCTGGTCAAGTCCCCTCAGGATGTTATACAGTCGATTCTGATACAATATGTGTTTCTTCAACGTGATTTGGTTTTAATACGATTGAAGAATAATTGAACACTATTTGTAGAAGGTGAACTTTCCCTACCTCTCATGGCTATAACATGATTTCAACCCCCTCACTTTAAATATCGCAGTTATTGCGTGATTTTATTATAACACGAGACTGCACAAGAACGGAACTTTTGCATTATATCAGAATCGACTGTATGTTTCAATTAACCTCGACTCTTCTGAACTCCAGATGATACAGGCTTAATCTATCAAGTTTTCCCTCATAAGGCAATCTGCTCATGGCAATTTGTCAGGCCAGTAAGCCTTCTATGAACTGCTTGTAACACATTAGCATTCTTCCATACATATGCTGATCAGTACTTTACACGATACTCCATACGTAGTTTCACCAATGTTCTGTATAACTGAAACATAATCTCTCTATTCTTGCATTCAACTCCCCTCTCAATAAGCCATAATATTCCAACACCTTTCCTGATAAATTGTTGGACCTGCATACTACCAGCCTTCTGTCATTCGTGCACTAGGACACTCAGATCTGTCCGCATCACGGAGCTTTGCAACCTCTCGCCATTTAGATAATATGCTTCTTTTTTATTCTTTCTGCCAAAATGGACAAATTTACAGTTTCCCATATGTATATCATTTGCCAGCTATTTGCCCACTTACTTAGCCAACTATATCCCTTTGTAGGCTCCTTGTGTCCTCTTCATAACTCACTTTCCTACATATTTTTATGTCATCAACAAATTTAGCTACTATGCCTTCAGTTACTTCCTCCAAACCATTTATATAAATTGTAAAAGAATTGCCACTTAGCACTGAGCCCTGTAGCACACCATTTTCTGCCAGCCTGAAAAGGACCCAATTATTCCTACTTTCTGCTCCTTGTTACCAAGCCAATCTTCTATCTGTACCGGTACGTTATCCTCTTGCCCACCACACCATTAGCAATAAGCTTTGATGTGACATCTTATCAAAAAGCCTTCTGGAAATCTGAATTTAATATATCCACTGGTTCACCTTTATTTACAGTGCAAGTTACTTCTTCAAAGAACCCCAATAAATAAATAAGATTTTCCTTTGACAAACCATTTTGGTTCAGCCTGATTATCTTGAATGTATCCAAGTGCCCTGTTACGACAGCTTTAATAATAGCGTTTAACATCTTCCCTATAACGGATGTTAAGCTACCTAGCCTGTAGTTTGCTGCTTTCTGCCTCCCACCTTTTTGAATAAAGGAATTACATTAGCTATTTTCCAATCTAAAAGAACTTCCTCTGAATCAAATGATTTTTTGGAAAATTAAAACCAATGCATCAACTATTTCACTGGCTACTTCTTTTAAGGCCTAGGATGAAATCCATCAGAATCTTAGGACTTGTCAACTCACAGTTCCAACAATTTACTCATGATTTCTTTCCTGGGTAATTGTAATTTTTTTTTGAGTTCATCCCTTTCAATTCCTGATTTACAACTATTTCCAGGATGCTACATGAATCCTCTCTATTGAAGACTGATGCCAAATATCTGTTCAATTCATCTTCCATCTCTTTATCCTTCAAACTAATTTCCCAAACACATTTTCAGTACTTAGTTTGTTAACTATTTTCTTTTTTTAAATATCTGAAGAAAACTTTTCTATCAGTTTTATATTTTGGCTAACTTACTCTTCCACTCTAATTTTTTCTCCTTATTAATCTATTAGTAATTCACTGTTTTATTTTATATTCGGCCCAATTTTCTAACCTGCCGCCTATCTTTACAGAATTATATTCTTTTCTTTGAGTTTGAGACTATCGTCATGAGTGGCAGGTCCATCTCTTTAGAATTTTTCTTATTTGTTGTAATGTTTTCTGTTCTGTACTTTCTCGAATATCTCCTTAAATATTTGCCACTGCATCTCTATTACCTATCCCTTAACCTAAATTGCTAGCTCACATTTGCTAGCTCTGTTTTCATGCCCACATAATTGCCCTTGTTTAAATTCAAAATGGTCATCTTGGACCCACACTTCCTCCTTTAACCTGTATGTAAAATGCAATCGTATTATGGTCACTGCTACACAGGGCTGCTTTCACTGAGATCAGTAATTAATTCTATCTCATTGATCTAAACCAGATCTAAGTATAACCTATGTGGTGCCATAACATGCTGGTATAAAAAATTGTCCCAAAAACATTCAAAGACTACTTTCTCCCCATCTGACTTTTCCGCCTATATGTAGGTTAAAATCCCCCACGAAAATTGTTGTATCCTTTTGTTATTTCTTCCTTGATACCCTGTTCTACCATGTGGTTACTGTGAGGTGCTTTACAAAACTCCTACAAGTGACCTCCTCCCTTTTATCGTTCCTCATCTCTACCCAGACTGCTTCTATATCCAGGTTTCACTAATGAAGGCTATCCCTCTGTAATGTACTAGTGTCATCTTCAACAGAGCCACTCTGCCACCCTTTCCTACCTTCCTTCCTTTCTAAATGTCGTATACTCTTCAATATTCAGGTTCCAATCTAGATAATCTTGCAGCCACATCTGTTACAGACACTAGGTTGCACTTAATTATCTCAATTTGTGCTATTTATTCATCTGTTTTGTTTTTGAATGTTATGTTAAGATTTGTGCTTTTATTATGTTTGTAATTTATAGTCATATCTGCTGATTTCCTCTTAGATCTCAATTCTGTGTTCTTGTCATTATTTACAGTTGCATTTATCAAACATAATGTTATATCAGTTTATTTGGAGATAATACAGCTTTTAACTTTCAGATCAAAGAAGAATGGTTGAAATAATTGGACATCTGACAAAAATAAGATTTGGAGAAAAAATTGATCGCACCAAGGGAAAAGAAGGAAAAGAGGTGAATTGGTTTTCCATCAGTATTTTGCAATGTAATGCACTTTGGATTCTTATCTGAAGTGTTTAATCTGTTAATCGAGTTTTAAATTGGATGGAAAACATCCCGTGACAGGAATATTTCCTACTAATTTGATTTGAAGCAATCTGTATACAGGCTCATCTCAATCATAAAATGTACTTCTACTAGGAAGAGAAGGAGAAAATAACTGAATTGTTGCAACCTTACGTTTAAACACTTGATGGAAATGCTTTCAAGTGGCTGATACAGACCCTTTTGACGCTTCCATCATCAGTTACCCTTTGATGTTCAGAGTCCATATTGACTGAAAAGTTGCCTGAAATGCTTGAGAATCCTACAGGACAGCATGGAACTTGTGAGAGGCAGTGCTTTATGTGACTATATGAAATAGAAACAGCAGTAGGCCATTTGGCCCCTTGAGCAGTACTCCATCAGTCAGTAAGATCATGGCAGATCTGTTGTGTTTTAAATTTCACATTGCTTTCTCCTCCTAATAACCGTAGGTTCTTGTTAAGCAAGGGAATCAATCAATCTCTGCTTAAAAAATTAAATGACCCTGCTTCCTCTGCTGCTTGAGGAAGAGTTACGAAGTCACACAACCCTCTGAAAGAGAAAAATTCTCGTGATTTGGGTGGTTATCCTTGGGATTGATTGGGCATAGAGGATTGATGCCTGCTGCAAACGTTCTACCCACATGTAGGTTCACCCTCCTCAGCTTGGATTTTTGCAGGTTTTGGCATTATACACACGGATTAAATGGGATAAATGGGAGGCATTTTTCAAAGTGCCCTGAGACAAAGTTTTAGCGAGTCCTCTGCATGGCTCCTCCACCTATAAATGTCTATTGGCATCACCCTCTCTCTGTGAGGGGAAGGTGGACTGGAGTGAGGTTGAAGTTTCTCATCCCTTTCTTGTTTTGCCATTAAAGTTGAGTGCCAATGGCTACAGCAATGAAGTGTGGGTCTGAGCAGAAAGTATGTACTAGACTTGGCTCTCCCTGGCTGTTGTGAACCACTCCAACGAAATAACTAAATGCAAGCGTGCTGGAGCCAGCACAGTACTGATAACATTGATAAACTCCTCCATCCTTTGATCAAGCTTACCAACTGCCTCTGAAAATCCTGCCTGCTACTCCTGTAATGCTGTGATTTTGATGTAGTCATTAATGACCAAGACATAGGATCATCTTCCGCATGGGACTGAGCAAGTACCTGGATATCTTCAGCAATCCTCTCAATTCAAGAGACATGAGGCATTTCTTCCTTGGTCAGCTGCAGAAGCATGTCAGTGAAGTGCACATCAGATTGGATGCCCAAATTTAATATGGATCAGAGTTCCCACGAGGTGAAAATCAATGAGCTGGTGGAGAGGGCAGGTGAAAACATTGCAGGTGAATTGTCTAAAGCTTCAGTGGCTTTCCCCTCAGAATTGGAGATGGTATTAAGGATCTCAGGTGTAGGCCTCTGCTTTTCACACTGTGAGAGTCTGCAGAAGAAGGGAGAGGGAAGTGGTTGTGTAAGAGGCATAAAAGCTTGTGTAGATTAAGAATGAATGAGTATTAACATTAACGAGAGAGCAGCACAGCACCATGAACCTTGCTGGGTTGAGTAGCCATTGAGGTCTCAATGTCCCCACATGAACAATCATGCTGCTGTCCAACCAAATTCACTGTTTTCTCCTCGAATGGCGTGAGGAGCCTAATGACTGCTAGCCCCTTGCTAGTCCTGGCTTCTTGGCCCAGTTGTGGGCCATTTCTTCCTGCAATGAGACAATGGGAGAGATTGAACATGGTAGACGTCGATGAAAGAACAGTTAGTGATAATGCAGGATTAGGGCAGATGGTAAGGTGTACACCAGTGAGTGAGTTGGAGCGCAGATGGTTTAGTAGATTGGGAGTATGAGGTGGGTAAGAATCGTTGAGTGGACATGATGCATACCATAGTGAGCCCTGTTTATTTGTTCATGGGATGTGGGCCTCACTGACTTTGCCATGATTTATTGTCTATTCCTGATTGTTCAGAGGGTGGTTAAGATTCAAGCTGATTGTTGTGATGACGTGTGAGATTTTTAAAATATAATTTGGATTTTAAACTAGTGGCATAGAGGTTTCAGTCTGCTTGTGTGAAGGCGTTCAATAATTAACTAGGTTAGTGTCTCCAGAGCCATGACTTTAAACGATTATGTACCAGAAAACAGATTACTTAGGGCCTCCTGGAATGTTAGTGGAAGTTTGTTTATATTGTGGGGATTTATGATTGGGGGACAAAAACTTTGAAAGACATTAGCTTGCTTTTGAGTATAGAATCCTAAAGGATAAATTTTACCTTTTCAAAAAAAGGCAGAAATTTGGAAAGCATTTGGGTCAATTTGAAGCAAACCTGACTGAAGTTAGATGCAAGTATATGCACTCCTAGAAAAAGGTGACTACATTCAGACAGTTAAGGAAATAGGTAACTTGAAAGAGTGTAATTTGTGGAGAAGTATAGTTGAGACCAGGAGTGTTTGCTTTAAAATCTGCGTTGGTTACTCAAAGTTGAAAAAGTTTCAGGCATAGCTTTTCAGATCACTGGACAAAAACAATAAAGTCAAACCTGCACATTGGACAGGGAAAGATAATTTCTGTGCTGTTTTGATTGTCTGCAAAGTGGTGGTGTTGGAGAGTAGATGGGATTTTCCTTTGGTGTGTATTTTGAAATCTTTCAAGCAATATTATGTGTATATTGTTTGGCTTGTTTTAGTACATTTTTATTTCTCTTGTGTTGTAAGATTTTTTTTTGCGTTGAAACCAAATCTGTAACCTGGCATGCCTGTGTTTCAGTGGAAGACTACCACGTTAAAACTAAAAAAAAGCAAAATATGATCAATCACACCAGATTTTATTCTTGGTTCTGACGTGTCAAGTAGTAACAAAAGCTAGGATTACAGCTGTCTGGAGTTCCGTTTAGACCATGCCAGTAGGTGCATGCACAGTAGCAGAGTTTAAATGAGTGCTGGACCTGTGAGTGTGAGATTCCGTCCACCTTCTGTATGCTATCGCCCGTGCAGGGTAGTTGAGATCATTTACCTTCTTCCTGATGTGCTGTGCATTCTGTCTAACCTTGGGCACAGCACTGACCTAGGCTGCTACCTGTGTCCAGACTGGAGGCATGGTCTACTTTTACAGTCTTTGGAAAGAATGGTGGCCCTTCTCACATGCTTCCAGGTCCCAGTTTGCAGAACAGGAAGTTAACTCACCTTCTTGAGACATTTCCTCACTGATAATGATCAAACGCCAATATGTGAGTAGCAGTTCCTGGCTTGAAATGTTTGAATTCATCTGTAGCTGGGCTTTAACTATGATGGTATGGTCTAAATACTGGAAGCAAACATCTCCACCTCTCCTGCCACACAGTTCTACAAGAAGGGTGCCAATAAATCTGATTGCATAATGAAGAAGATTGCATGAGAAAAGTTGCTCTGAGCCATAGTGGATCAAGTGCCATAAATCTGACTTTACTAAACATTATAATCGGAAATGGGAAAACTCCACCAGTTGTCTTTTGTAATCATTTTGCACTGCTTTTATATGTGAAAAGGGCACTTGTTGCTGCCAGGTCCCACTTAACAAGCTGTTTCCTTAATTTCTAAACAAGTAAATGTCTCAATGTCAGATTAATCCACTATCAGATTTTGAATTTTTTCGACAGCATTATCAGGATTGCAATATATTTTAAACTTAGCTGACCAATTTATCTTTTATCAGTTTCTTTCTTTATGCTTCATTTGACCCCCTCCTGCTTTTCCTAATCTAAATCTATCATAGCTGTCTGTTCTCTTCTCCCTCATAAACCTGTCTGGCTTCCTTTTAAATGCATCTAGATTATTTGTTTCAAATACTCCCTGTGTAGCGAGTTGCACAATCCTTGAGTAAAGACATTTCTGATGAATTCTCTATAGTTTTTCTTGGTTCTCTCTTGTACTTATGGAGAGTTATGCTTTTCAGCACAAGTGGAAGCCTTCTTTTCCATTCATTCTCTCAATCAAAATCTTTCGTAATTTTGTTTAGTTCAATACATACCCCCTCTACCTTTTTTCAAGGAAACTGACACTGTTTTGGGTGACTGAATGCAGATATCTTGGGGTTGTGGCCAAGACAAGGTTAGACTAATGGAGACTTCCTGAGATATAGTAGAAAGGATAGGCCATATGGCCCATTGAACGTGCTTTATCATTCAGTGAGACCATGGCTGACTTGATAGTGGCCTTAACTCCACATTCTTGATTGTCCCATAATCCTCGACTCCTTTTAGATCAAAAATCTGACTAATTCAGCTTTGAATATTTTCAATGACCCAGCACCCACATCTCTGTGGAAAGAGAAGTCCAAAGGATAATGACCTTCTGAGAGAAGAATTCCTCCTAATTTCACTCTCAAGTGGGAAACACCTTCTGTTTAAGCTATTCTCCCTAATACTAGACTCCACCCAAGAAAAAAGTCCTCTCAGCATTTACTTTGTTGAGCACCCTCAGAATTCTGTATGTTTCAATGAGAAGGAAATGCTGTAGAACAATTTGAAAATAATTAAAATTAAGAATTATTGCTTAACTGAAGAAATAGGGATGATGAGTAAGCTGGACTTAGTTCAAGTTAGGACATGGATGGTACAGTTTTTGATATCTCAAGTTTACAGAGGGTAGAACATAGGAGGATGGCCAGAAATAGTCAAGCCTTGAGGTGGAATAAAGTGTAGATGAGGGTTTCAGCAAGGCAGGGGTAGAGTTGGGCAATGTTATAGCATTCATAGTGATGGTGCAGATATGTGTTTGTAAACTCAACTTGAAGTCAACTTGTGAATACTTGATTAAGCCTCAAATAGCTGCTGCAAAACGGAATAGAATTGGTGACTAAGCAATGTTTGTGGATTGATTGGAAAATAATGGTTTTAGTTTTCTTAGTATTTAGCTGGAGAAAATGTTTGCTTATACACTACTAGATGTTGGAAAAGCATTTGACAATTTAGAGACAGTGAAGAGGTTGAGGCAGGTGTTGGTGAGGTAGTGATGGGTGTCACCAGCGTACATGTAATTTCCCACATGTTTTTGACTAATGTCACTGCGGGTCAATATAGAAATGAGAATTAGCATGGAGCCAAATATAACTTCTTGGGTAAAATGGAAATATCAAATAGGCAGTAAAGCTATTATGAGTAAATAGCTAAGAGTAGAACCAGAACTCTGCAGTCCTACACAGCTGAACAATGGTGAAGAGGCCTTTGAGGTGGAAAGCGTTCTGAAGTGAAAGGTGTTTCTCAAAGGTGACAGGTTGAGAAGGACAAAGAGAGAGAACTTATCTCTTTTTTTGACAGGCATTTGTAACTATAAGGGCCATTTTTGTACTGGAGCAGAGAAATTCAAACATCGCATTCTGGGGGAAATGAGCATCATTTTCAGAATGATAATGTATTCGAGGACTTTGGAAAGAGATGATGAAAGCAGATTTGAAGGAGGTGAGGATAGTGCTTGTGGAGTAAATACCATTAAAACTATCAGCTAACATGAGAATCATGAAAAAAAAATGGATGGTCAGCAATTTTAGTGGGAATAGAGTGGAACAAGGTGAACTCAGAGCAAGAATGATGGGAGATGGAAAGGAAACCAGAAAAAGATACAAGTTCAGGCTAGAGCTGAAGAAAAAACTATACAGGAAATTTGGCCTAATTCTTTCCCAAAAATATACTCAACTCATAAAACTTTTTAAAATTGCATTACAAAGCATTGACTTAAAAATTAGAGTGCAATAAAATTCAACATCTCTTCATACAGTGTTCCACTCTTAAAGTGCTTCAACATGTTTGTAGCAGTCTTCATATTTACAATATACATTTCACGTCATGCATAGAACCCGGGGCAAAATGATTTAAATTGAAAATTGCAGAAAATGCAATAGAAGTAAACTTTTGTCTATGGAACATGTTTCACTCTGAGTTGCATCAATAACGTTCAGTGCTTTTGACGTTCACAATGTATATCCCTTGCCAGGAATGGAACCCAGGGGATTCTACAGTTTCAAGCCCTTCATGAGTATGGCCTGATGGCCTAGGGGAAGAGGGGTAAGTAGGAAAGGCAGATAAATGAATGGACTGAATGTTGGTGCTAAAGAAATCCATGAACTCATTTTGCTTGTTTGGAGGCAAGGATGAATGAGATAGGGCAGAGGATTTAAGAAGGTGGTTTGTAGTACTGGAGAAGCCAGGGTTGTTCCAGGAAGATAATCCAAGAATTGTTATCAGTTTTGGAAGATGTAAACAGAACCTGATGCTCTCTATGGTCCAACCTGACCAGGTGTGTTGAATGACTAAACCATTTTTGCATGTCTTTTCTAATCAATTTTAAATTCAGTAGACTTAATGGAGTGGGGATGAGACCCATGTTTGGGGTACACGCATGCACGCGCTCTCTCACACACCCACACACATACGTACTCGCATACACTATGCCCCGAAGGTGGAGGGGAGTGTATGGTGCATAGATCAATAGCGTGGGGGACATGTAACAGGAAAAATTAAATGCCTTGGAAATTAAAGTGATGGACTCAGACCCAGACTGATATACAAACTGCACGCATAAATGGACATAGGCAAAACTCAGATGAAATGTCCTTGGTTCAATAGCAGTTCTTAGGATACCCGTACCCTATATATACCTAAAGTGGGCATGAGAAAAACACTTTTCATTCCTTTTGTCTGAAATCAAGAGGAAAAATAAAGTTCCTGACATTGAATTACTTGAAGCTACATGCCATGTCAACTAATTCTACTCTCACAAGAGTGTCTGTAGTGGCCTGGTCGACTATTTCTGGTATAGGGGGACGTATTCCAAAGAATTTCTTACATGGACGGCTTACAGATACTTCAAGACCACTGTGATCATTTGTGCTCAAGTTAAAGAAAATGTTTCCAAAAGAACTTGAAAACTTTGATGCTGTAGGCTGTGTTGAAGGATTACTTAGCATCTTGTAGAGCCAAAAAAGTTGAAGACAAGCAGAAAAAAAATTCAAGGATCAATGCTAAATCGGCACTGTTGCCTGACCCCATGATTTATACCTGCACCACTAATGGCAATAATTATTGTTCAAGAATTAGACTCTTAAACCACTCATGATGCAGAGTGGCAAAGTAACTAAAATATTTTCATTTCTGCATCATTCATTGAGACAGGGAGCTAACAGAAACAAGCATTGAAATGAAAAGCAGCAATATTAATTTAAAATTGTATAGAATCTTCGTTAGGCTCGTTGTTCTTGTCTTCAGATTGTGGAAAGGATTTGAAACGCTGGAGGTGGTGCAAAAGGCATTTACAGGGATGCCACTAGAACTGTAAGCATGTGCCCAGCAAGAGGATTTCAACAGTTGGCATATCTCTGTAGAAAAGTCTAATGGGTGACGAGATCAAGGTATTTAAGATTGTGAAAGGTTTTAATAGGGTAGATATAAAGGTGCTGTTTTCACTATGGGGGAGACCAGAACTAGGGGCCATACATATAACAGTCACCAGTAAATCCAAAAGAAAATTAAGGAGCAATGTTTTAATCCAGATCGTGAGTAGAATGCGAAATCGACAATTGCTTGGAATAACTGAGGCCAGACACATTTAAAGGGAAGCTAAATGTTGTGCTTTTTACTAATTTTTCCTTGGCCAAAGCAAAATGTCAGTAATTGGATAAATAGTCAGAGGCCAAATCAGTTATACAACACTATTTATTAGAATCACCAATGTACAAGCCTTACTTCTTGCACAGAATATTACTAATAAAAGACATTGATGATCAGGCTGTGGGCTGGAGAGCATTCCTGTTCTCTAGGTGTCTTCTCAGAGACCCGACTCAGGGTTGTCCTTCTTATGAATGTTGCTCCTGGATTCTCTTGATCACTGTGCTAGTTCATTCCTCTTTTATACCATCAGACTTTTCTTTCATATACCTGTGCATGCTTGTGGTCACATGCTTTTTAACTAATTAGATCAAGATGATTTGGTCAGACTATTTATTTATTTGCCTGTCTGGAGCATTGTGGTAGGTTTTCTTGTGAGGTTGTAGCTATAATCTTGTTTTCTGTTTTTTGTCTGCATAACAGTCTCTTAGGCTAATCTGTTAACTTTAAACTGTTGCTACCCCTACTGTGTGCTGCTTAATTTGGTCAAGCTAGAGCTATATTTACTTATTAGCACCCTTCCGCTAGATAAATACCTTGGAGGAAAAGGAACAGAAATATTTATAGATGGTGCTTTATGAAAAATTGTGGGAGGTGGTGCAAATGGATTGTAAAAACTAGTATGGTCCCAATGGATCTAAAAGCCTGTTTCTGGCTTGTAATAAAATATAAATGTGATAACTAAGTAAGTACATTATCTCTTCATTAATTTAAAATATATTTCATGTTTACAGTTTGCTGGTGGCATTTACTGCAGATTGGAATCCCAGCTTAAAGCCTGTCCACCAACATCATCTCGTCAGAATAATTCATCGCAAAATGCAAGGTAAATTTGATTTCTAGTTATGTGGTTTGAATAAAGATTGCAAATAGTATTATCTAAAAATCTTTTGTCTATGGCCTTCCGAAGACCCATTTTTTGAAGCTGAGCAACATTATTTGCTGAGTTGAAACTCCTAGGACCTAAAAAAACAGTTCATGCAATCAAACCAAATTAAAGCAAATTGAACTAAATTAAAGGAACACTGAAAGAAAAAATTCAAAATGTTGTTGCGGCGATTGATGCTGTTATGGAAACAGAATGTAGGAGCAGACGGAGGCTGTTCAGCCCTTTCAGCCTTCTCTGTCATTCAATATGATCGTGGTTGACCGTCCAACTAAGTACCCTGTTCCTGCTTTCTCCTCATACTCTTTGACCCCTTTAGCCGTAAGAACTATAACTCCTTGAAAACATGCAAATTCCACAGGCTCATCACTGTCTGACTGTAGGACATCTGAGTCCTAAATGGCCAATTGTATCCTAAGACTATGACCCCTGGCCTGGACTCCCCAGTCACCAGGAGCATCCTTCCTGCATTTACCCCATCTAGAGATAGCAAGAACTGCAGATGCTGGAGTCAGAGATAATGCAGTGTGGAACTAAAGGAACACAGCAGGCCAGGCAGCATCAGAGGAGCAGGACAGTTGACATTTCGGGTCGGACCCTTCTTCAGAAATGGGGAAGGGGAAGGAAGCTCAGAAATGAATAGAGAGAAGAGTGGTGAGGCTGGGGAAGGATAGTGATAAGTGAGTGCAGGTAGGGAGTGGTGGGGATTGGTCAGTGAGGTGGGAGGATCGGATAGGTGGGAGAAAAGATGGACAGGTTGTGTCAGATCAAGGAGGCAGGGAATGAGAGGGAGGGTTGGACATGGGATGAGGTAGGGCGCGGGGGGATTTTAAAACTGGTGAAATCCATGTTTAGGCCATCGGGCTGTAGGCTCCCGAGGCATAATATGAGGTGTTGCTCCTCCAGTTTGCGGGTGGTGTCATTGTGACATTGGCGAAGGCCCAGGATGTTACCCAGGGACAGGAAGGGGGTGTTAAAGTCGTTGGTGACCGGAAGGTGTTATCATTTGTTGTGTACAGAGCGCAGACGCTCTACAAAACAGTCCCCAAGTCTCTGCCTGGTCTCACCAGTGTAGAGGAGGCCACATTGTGAGCAGCAGATGCAGAAGCAGAAGATCAAGTTGACGGATGTGCAGGTGAACCCCTGTCTAATGTGGAAGTTTTGTTTTGTGCTTTGAATGGAGGTGAGGGGGGAGGTATAGGGGCAGGTGTAGCACTTCCTGCAGCTGCATGGAAAGGTGCCGGGGGTGGTGGGGTTAGTGGGGAGTATGGAGCGGATGAGGGAGGCGCAAAGAGAGCGGTCGCTACGAAATGCAGATGGGGTGGGGAGGGAAATATCTCTTTAGTTGTGGGGTCGGATTGTAGGTGGCAGAAGTGGCGGTGAATGATATGCTGGATGCGGAGGTTGGTGGGGTGATATGTGAGGACAAGGGGATTCTGCCTTTATTTTTGTTGGGGGGAGGGAATGTGAGGGCAGAGGTGCAGGAAACGCAAGAGATGCAGTTGAGGGCGTTTTCGATCACCGGAGGGGGAAGTTACAGTCCTTGAAATAGGAGGACATCTGGGATGTGCGGGAGTGGAACACCCCATCTTGGGAGCATACGTGGTGGAGGCGGAGGAATTGGGAGTAGGAAATTGCATCCTTGCAGGAAGGTAGGTGAGAGGAGGTGTAGTCCAGGTAGCTGTGGGAGTCAGTGGGCTTGAAATAGATGTCAGTTTAGAGGCCGTCACCAGAGATGGAGACAAAGAGGTCCAGGAAGGAGAGAGCGGTATCAGAGATGGTTCAGGTGAATTTGAGGTAGTGGTGAAAGGTGTTGGTAAAGTTGATGAACTGTTCAAACTCCCCGTGAGAGCATGAAGCAGCACCGATACAGTCATCAATGTAGCGGAGGAGGAGGTGGGGGATAGTGCCAGTGTAGCAGCAGAAGAGGGACTGTTCCATATATCCTACAAAGAGGCAGGCATAGCTTGGGCCCATGCGGGTGCCACTTCCTGCAGACTAAGGGGGTGGCCATGGGCACATAATACCTGATTCCCTTACCATTCAAGAATGTGACTATCTCTATCTTAAATAACTCAGTGACCTGGCCTCTGCGGCATTGAGTTCCACAGATTAACCATCCTGTAGCTGAAGAAATTTCTCTTCATCTCAATTCTAAAGAGTCATCCCTTCACCCTGAGGCTGTTCCTGCAGGTCCTAGACTCTCCTACTGGTGGAAACATCTTGTCCACGCCTACTCTATCCAGGCCTCTCAGTTTCCTGTAAGTTTTAATCAGATCCCCCCCTCAGCTTTCTAAACTCCAAGTACAGACCCAGAGACTTCAGTTGCTCCTCATACGAAAGGCCTTCATCCTTGGAATCATCCTTATATAACTTCTATGGACACCCTCCTCGGCCAGTAAGTCACTCACTCGGCCAGTCAGTCACTCACTCACCTGGCCACTTGCTCACTCAGCCAGCCACTTGCCCACCTGGCCCCACACACAGACAGACGCACACAAAGACACAGACACACTCCTGCTGACTGGTCAGTGGGACACTAACTCGCTCAGTCATTCAGCCAGTAGCACACTTGCACATTCGGCCGGTAGCCACTTTGCATGCAGCCATTGGGCCACTTGCTTACTCAGTTAGCTGGCCACTATCATACTCAGCCAGCCATTCACACTCGGTCACCCAGCTTAATACACTAATGAAGCACTTTAACAGTATTGGTCAAGGTCATCTGTTGTCATAATATGCTGCATGTAAAATGCATGCACTGTCCAACTGTGTGGGTTACAAATCCTGATCACAAACAATCTTGACTCTCTCATTAATCATTGTGAGATGGATCATAGTCACATGTGTGAAGCATAATAATCACAGGCAATCTTAAAAGTGAAACCTGCAGGCCAGTATTCACAAAGACAATTGAAGATCTCATTAGCTACGTAAGGGCATGGGGCAGATTTTATTTCACCATGATCTTTCAATATAATCCAGATAGTGTGTGCCACAAAATCCTTGCATGCTGTTCAGCGCACAACTGGAGCAGGCAATGATGAATGCTGAAGAGCTGGGAGAGCAGCAGCAATCTTCTGATGTGGAAGGTGAGGGCTTTTTGAGCAGGAGGAGCCTCACCTTCTGTATGATAGAGCACTTCAGGTGTAACAAGCCAGACAGGACTCACTTGACACTTGATTACTGGATGCAGTCATCACTCTTTGACTGTAGATTTGTTGTTGATCAAAAGGCATTCAGATCCTGTCGGTTCACAGAAGCAAATGCAGTTTTTCTTTTTTTTAAATTTGCTTTTGCTGTTGCTCAATAAAAGTGAACATTTCAATCATTTGAAGGCTTTTCGGTACATAATGCTCCTACACTGAACAATGAGAAGATGTTATGCTGTACTGGGTGTTAGTGAAAGAGTACTCCCTTAGGATTTTAAAATGGGATGTTGCTAAGGTTCAATAACTGCTGTAGCTTATAATGATTGTCGATCAAGCAGATGATGATATACAGTAGCGATGCATTTACAGTGCATTTGCATTTGCACTTGCACTGCGCAGTCAACTGTGCCACCTATTTGCCCACATCTACCACCCTTTCCCTTCCCTTCCCACTACATGCGCTGTGAAGAGCAGCTCCTGCCTGGTACTGATTGACCTGGTGCATGATTGGGCTTTAAAAGTGGCACTAGTGCCAGGAATCCCAGGGGGTCCCAACAGTTGTGAGTACTTCCGTCATTGCTGAGCAGAGAATAGTGCAAGGATGCACCACTTGATGTGATTGTAATCTCAGAAGTGCAGGTAACCTACAAAAGAGAAATTTGCATAAGCAGTGGAAATGTATAACATTTCAAAAACAATATCTCTCAAATCTATTTCAAACCCCAGAGCAGAAAATATTTACCATTTGACTCAGAAGAGCCCATGTCATGTTTTAGGGATTTTTTTTCCGAACAACTGCAGAATGATTTTGATGGATTCCTTTAATACTTGAGGATTGCCACCAATGCAATGGATGAATGAGCTGCTTCTTAGACCAGATGTAATGGACAAAGTATACAGTGGAACTTTGGAACCTGTGTATATTTTTGCCAGCTATATCTGGATTTTCGGGCTATAGATTCCACTCTGTAGCCTCTGATTAAGCAATCTCTCAACAATAGCAGATAAGTGGAAGGGTCAACAAGGAGAAATAACATAAACTGAGGGTTTAACTACGGAAGTAAATCCTTGAGGACAAAAGGGCAAACTGAGAAGGCAGCTTTCTTTTTAAAAAAAAAGGGAGTCTTGGATTTTTAAATAGAAGTATAGAGTTCAAAACAAGGAGGGTTGTGTTCAACCTTTATAAATCACTGTTTAGGCTTCAGCCGTAGTATCATGTTCGGTTCTTGCCACCACGTTTTAAAAAGAACGTCAAGGCCTTAGGATGCAGGGGAGATTTTCTAGAGATGACGGACTTCAGGTATGTGGAAAGGATACAGAAACTGAGATTAATCTTCTTCACTCCAAGGAGAATAAAGAGATTTACTTGAGGTTCTTAAAATTGACAGAGTAAATGACTCTCACAGCTCTTCCCCCTTGAAATAACTCCATAGAGGCCAGTATCCCATCACCAAATCACCCTTTATTTACACATGCATAGTACTTGACTCTGGTCTGGCTTCCTCAGAGTGAACAGAACCTCTGACACTCGTTTTTATATCTGTCAGCCAGGGCTCCATGATCAGACCAGGTTAACAGCTCCAGTCAGAGAACTCATATTTTATGAGGTCCACCTGGCTGACCTCATTATAATTACTTCATTCCAACACCGCTGCTGTGTCCCTCTCAGACTCCAAGATTCCTTCAGCGCTAGATTGAGGGGGAGTACCCATGCATTCCGACAGCCTTTCTAGCTGTTCTGAGGGACCGGGTATATTTTGCTCCTGCCCCTTTTGTGAGTTTGCAGCTTTCATGTGCCTCATGTGCTTGTTCAGGACTGTGTCACCTACCCAAACCTGACCTCTTGTCGACCATGCCTCGTACCCATACAGAGCCATTCTGTGGATTCGGCACCAAATTTCATCCCCTGAAGTAAACTGTCTCTCTCATCCTCATTAGAGGGGTCTGGTATTGGCATTCCTGATGCCATTTCACCCTACCCACACCCCTACCCCCTGGTCAGGGAAGATCAGATTTAACCTGGTGCGGCATCTTCTCTCCATTAGCAACTCTGTTGGAGCAATCCTCTGGATGAATGATGGGTGGTTCGATAATCAAATAGGAACTGTGACAGTTTAGTATCAAGTGAAGCCATTATCTGTTTCTTTAAGCCTGCCTTAAAAGTTTGGACTGCTCTTTCTGCCAGACCATTGGACAATGGATGGTATGGAGCTGTGCTTATATGCTGAATGCGATTTGACTTTAGGATATACTAAAATTCCCTGCTGGTAAATGACGGCCCATTGTCTGTAACCAAAAATTTTTTCTGAAGAAGGGTCTAGGCCCGAAACATCAGCTTTCCTGCTCCTCTGATGCTGCTCGGCCTGCTGTGTTCATCCAGCTCTACACCTTGTTATCTCAGATTCTCCAGCATCTGCAGTTCCTACTATCTCTGAGGCAAATTGCTTGTTGGTTTTCATCTGCCCCAATGTTATTTGCCTAGAAAAAAAAAATGCATTCTTTCCGCATACTTGGCCCGGTCTTAAGCAGGATCAAACAAGTCCAGCTCCCTAAATAATGGCACAATGCCACAAATCCTTACCCCAGCTCAAAGATGACTGTTGTGAGCGAATTTCTTCGGGAGTGTTTTTCTTCTCTTATCACCACTGAAATAATTCCAGTGACTGGTATCCTGTCACCAAGTCTCCCTTTATTTACATGTGCATAGTACTTGACACTGGTTATCTTCCTCATAGCCAGCTCTCAGAGTGAACAGAACCTCTGACACGCCTGTTTATATCTGTCAGCCAGGGCTCCCTAATTGGAACTGTTAACCATATTCTATGAGGTCCACCTGGCTGACCTTTATACAATCACTACACCCCCCACCTCCCAACCTGATCTGAATATTTCCCTGACCCGACCTACCATTTGTTACCCTACATCCCTCACCTACCCTACTGTCACCCAATGCCCTCACCTATCGTTCTGACATCCTACTCCTCACCCAAACATGTTCTCTTGATAGCTTATCAAAGTGCCTATTAGACCTTTAAATCCTATAATACGGCACTTACTATGGTAAGAAGGGTCATGCTTTGGATTCCCTCATGATCTTACAATGCAAGTATAAAATCTGAAACTAGATACCTTCTGCATTGCACAAGATGTTCAGTTCAGAAGTTTGGGCCATAAATACAGAGTTCCTGAGTAAGATAAGAGAAAAGGAGATCTGACAGTTTTTGCTACTTCTTAAAAGATCCAAGTGAATTAGTACCTTTTCATCTTCAGCAGAGAATGGTAACTAACCTGAATAGGTCCAAGAAGCGCAGTAGAGTACTTTATGTCAGAATCATATAACAAATAGACTGAATTTGTTTTATTTTCTTGAACCTAGGTCCAAAGCCCGCTTTTCCCAGATGCGCCCAACATAGTGGATTCCAAGAACTAAAAAGGATGATCCTTTGATTTTTTGAGATGATTGATTGCTAAATACTGAACTACACAATACTTTAAATCTGCATGTTTAATTTCATTATTAAATATTTATACATGTATGATCACCTGACGGTTTTCCTAATTTTACAGTAATATATACTTCAACTATATCAGCGAGATGAGACCAAGTTAATTTCATTTATTATGTTAGCTGTTCTGCATCTGTTAGCATTCAGATTAGTTCGGATAGATTAGTTGCACTTATGCCATAAATTTGTACCCTTTCCTACATAACTTCCAGTGTAGCATTTGTGGTTGTCCAAAACTACAATGAATTCACTATTAGAACTGTGAACTGCAGTTTAGTAATTCTCCTACTGTTACTCAATGTTAAAAAGCTTTAACTTGCAAAATTTTGAAGCTTAAGTTGCTGGACAACTGATCCTAAAACAAAATATCTTCATTTGAAAAAACTGGTTAGCAGCCATCATGAATTTAGGAAAGTGTGTTCTATATGTTTATGGCTACCTGGGGTTCTTATTGCTGTGTAGTATTATTCCAGATGTCTTTGATGTGATATGACCTAGACCATTATTTATATACAAATTGTTTTCATATACTATTCCTTTGTTTTTAACTTCAGTTTCAGTTCATGATATCTAAATATTAGTACTTTAAAATTCTTTAGAATTCAATTTTATACTGTAATTTCTGAAGTAAGTTTATGGGGATTTTAAAAGCCATTTCTAGCATTCTGCACTTATTAGATAAAGTGAAATAGCTTACACAATGTAATAGAGTCTATACCCCTTTTAAGAGCTCCTAGCAGACTTGATAGCCATTTCCCATTTTTCACAAATTATGAAAATAAATACATGGAGGAATACACGCTGTCTTCATTTATATCACAGTAAATATAAAATTGTGAATTATAGCACAGAGGATGTGAAAATCATGGAGATGTGTACTGAGGAGCTTTAAGATCTAGTTTTGAGTTATGGTCTACTGTCTTTCCAAAAAAGGGCTTTATCTTGCATATTTATTGTTTTCTTAAAGTGAAACTTGCATTCAAGCTTAGTGTATATATTTTCTTTACACACTACCTACGTGGTTGACAATGAAGAGTGACTTCCTCAATGAAATGTGAAATATACAGAATGGTACTATAGAGTTTTCAGCAATATGGTGTTTCGGGAAATTAACACAATCAAACTATCTGAAAACCAATAACGTTTCATTTGAGCAATGAGGTGGCCAAAAGCAATTCCAATGGCTTAATTTCTTCTGGTGCTTATCCAAACGCCCAACGTCTGTACCCCATTTAGATGTTGGTTTTATACTGTCAAAACTGATTCAAAAACAATAATTTTGTTTTGTATGTTTTTAAACAGTTTTAGATGTTTGCCTATAGTGATATGTTTTAAGATTGATTATAAATGCAACTGCTATAGAGTCATGTTAAAGCTTATTTTGGCTGACTGTTGTCGTGCAATCTATTTTTAAACCTCAAATATTTTAATATGGTTATCAAACCATCTGATATTGACCAAAACTTATGTCCCAGTGAAGTATAGTATCAGTTCATTTATGCAATTTATCAAATTAATTTTATTGTTCACTATGGTTCTGTTTTTAAAATTCCAGCTTTCTATCAATTTGAGTCTTTTACAATATTTCTACTATTGAGGTTTATGTGAAATATTCTGCACTGTATGTAAGATGCACTCAACATTGTATTGTTCGTTGGATTTTTATTTAAAAATCTATCTATTGTATACCTGTGTAGCCTCATGTATGAACAGATTGCTGCCTTTTCATTTTTTTGCAGAATTACAACAAATTTTAAAAGGCATTTGAAGTGCCAGTATATTATCTTAGTATACATTGATTTGTAAGCGGAGATGTGCTGACATTTGACTATCCTGTTCTCTCCAAACTATACTGCTGACAATGCTTCTTTGGTGAGGAGCAAGCACATGTCCAGTGGCTAATCTGATATGCTTGATAGATTGGAAGTTCCCTGATAGGAACGAATTGAATTGCATTAATTGAGCCTCTTTTCCTTTTTATCTGATTCACTTTCTTCCTCGAGGTTATAGAATCACACTGGAATATGATTCTATCCAAATGCATCTGATAGCTTTATGAAACTAACCCTACGAATGTTCAGCCTTTAACTGTGGGCTATCATAGCAGAGCTGATCCTATTGTAAACTTACACACCCACAGACTTTACCAGAAAAGTAGTAGACGGTGGGACTACCGATGATCCAACTACCACAAACTAACTCAAAACAGAACTGATATTATCTTGGACTTCTCAGATCACTTGGATTCATTACCATGTGTATGGTACATCTATCCATTATCCAGTTCTCATTGTCATGAGAGCTCAGTTCACTCCTGATATTCATATCTTCAATCACTATTCTCATATATGTTATGTGACACTTCTGGAGTAAGTGGGACTTAAATCCCTTTTGGTGTTAGGATCCTAAAGTGTACTGTACAGCTGGTATAAAATTGATCTTGCACATCACATATTGACAATCAAATTATCTGGGGTTTGTTCGTCAAAATTTTAGTAAGCTTATTTAATAAGTATTTAACTACCTCAGAAACTAATTGTATAAGCAAGACTCAAATAGAGATTTCCTAAAAGAGAGTTTATTTTTTGAGCTGCAGAAGTGTACAGTGATTCTATTCCCATTGAATTCTACTTTTGGTGAATCTCTTGTTTTTTTTCAATGAGGGTCTCTTATCATAATTTCTATCTCTTATCTCCTTCCTCCATTTAAAGTTGTAGAACTGTATGATTCTGGAAGAAAAGAATTCTATAAAGAACAGTATTTACAGTAAATCCTCTGTTTCCATGAAATCATAAATCGCAAATTCACCTATCTTCACCAAAAAATAAGTATTAACAAAAATCAACATCCTTGGGCAAAACTTGCATATCAGCAATTTCTAACCTATTTTTAACGAGCTCTGCACTCAGGAACTTTATCATCTGCATGGGTCGCATTCCTGAGAACCTTTACAGATTCAGTGGAATGACTGTATAAATTTTCAGTTTCATTATAAAATCTGCTACCCTAAAACCCTATTTTGGAACAGGAACAGCTAAGATCACTTTCAAAGGAACTGGATGTGGGTAACAATGCAGTTTAGTAAGCAGGTTTTCCCTCATAGCTTAGACTCAAATGAAGCTAAGAAGAGTCACTTCTAGTTAATAGCTCTAAGAATCCATTATAAAATTCGTTTGGATTCAGTGTGTGTGTTTGTACACATAATCTTGTGTAAAATTGACTGAACAAAATGTATAGTTATTTATTGGATTTCTCCACAAAGGGTGATTGATAAAATCAGACATTCTTATAAGTGCATAATTAATATTCTAATGTTTTAATCCAAGAAGTTTTAATTTTTTACATTAAAACATATGATTGAATGTATTATTGCAGTTATTGAAAGCAAAAATAGTTTAATGCAAATTGCAAATATTTGCAAAACCCAAGTTGTTAGTTTTTATTGCCTCAGTGTAATGTAAACTTAAGTTTCAAATTTGATATCTAAATTAGCATACTGAAATAATTTAAGATACTTAGACATTCCAAAGATCATTCACCTTTATGGACACTGTACAAGTCTATTTATTTGAAATTATTTGAAGCAAAATGTATTGCTAAATTTTCTTTGGCAATTCTCCTCTGAAGTAGATACTCGGTTAACTAAGCGCTAACATTGCAGCCAGACTTTTAAATGAACAGAATTGTGAAAGGTAGTGGCAGTGGAACAGCTAAAAGCTACAGGAAGGATAGAATACAGAAGAATGGAATTTGTGCTTTAAGCTTTTAAGTCAGCAACATGAAGTATTTATATAGGATGGCATGAGATGTGTATTATCTTAATATGCAGTGTAAAATGATATTGATGCTGCACAGATGAATCATAAATATTCTTTCTTTAATGTTTGCTTAATGAAAAATTATTTGTATCAAGCTACATCTCACAAATTGTTGGCTTATGTGAAATGAGTCTCTTGTCCAGATCACAAGGGGATACAATTGTTACATTCCTGAATTATGCTGTGATACAAGGAGGTATAGAAAATTAAGTCAATTTCCGCACCATTAAAACTTTAGAGAGCAACTGAATCACAGAAGATATCTACACAAAATCTCATTTTTGTACCAGTAAGCAATTCTGAAGGTATGACTTGAAATATCTGAATTGCGTTGTTAGAGTTGATCGGTTTTTCTCTGACTGTTTATGTTAGTGTGTGAGAATTGGTGTGACTCGCAAGATAAATTCCTAAAGAATTAAGAAATCCTTGAGTACGTTTGCACAAATAATCATGACTAATGTAAGTTCACACAATTCACAGAGGCTCCAAGTGACAAGTCGTAAGTAAATTGAGACAAGAATGAGAACTCAGTTGGGGGGAAAATAACTTTTTGCTTTTCTGTTCTTACTTTATATACTATACTCTGGCAAAGCATGCATGTGAGCAACAGCACTGTATATATGGGATTATCTCTGCTGGATCTTCCCACCTGGGAGTGGCTGTTTCACCACCAAAAATGACACTAAGGTGAAAATTAGAGTGCATATAATTCACCCCTTGTCACAATGAATTTCGATGACGTTTTGCTGTCCATTGTGTCACCTGAACTATCCTTTCCAATAGCTCTGATTTGCAATTATTGATAAATGAGTCGTACTTTTCCAAAAAGTAGGATATATAAACAATCTTAAGATTTTTCTGTTCCAAAGCATGCATGCCTAAAAAATGGTTGCACTACTGGCAATGTTATAAATTCAGATCAATAGAATACCATTAATGCTGAAACCTGATTTGACATCTTCAGGAAAAGCTCATTACAAAATTGGGTGTGGATGTATGAGCAGTCTTGCGATTATACATAACATTGAGAAAGGATCAGGAATGTACATATTGTGTTAACAGGTAGTTCAAAGGGGCAAAGTTTGAAGCTGGTCAGAAGGGATGGGTAGTAAGAATGTGAAGGAATGGGGAAGTACCTCATTTCCTGCTGCAATATTGCTATGCAAGTCATCTAAAAGGACAGAGGACATGTAGAGAGAGTGAGGAGCAGGAAAAAAAGATGAGAATAATATGGCCAAATGAAATGAATAGTGACAGGTAAGAACAGGAGAACAATTCCATTTTCATTATGTCACATGCAATACCATAAGAGATTTAAATAGTTATGACAAACTATTTAATTGAGGCCTATCTTAATGGTTGCAGGAATTAAAACTAACTAACTACCTGCTTAAATTATTCTAAATATCATTATAGTTGATTGTGGTTTTCCTACAAATGATTTTTTTAACCAGTTCCCTGCAACTGATCTTTACCAGGATAAAAATGGATTTTCAACATTCATATATCTGGAAGTAGAGAAGAATCCTTTCAGCATGATTCTTGCCGTGACATCAAGGCAGAATTTGACCATGATATCAGCGAGCCCTGGCAAAATGAGTCAACGGTACTTGGGAGAAACTCCTCCCTGGTTAGAGTCATGCCTAGCACAAAAGATGGTGGATGTGGTTATTGGAAATCAGTCATCTCAGCTCCAGGACATCTTTGCAGGAGTTCTTCAGGACAGAGTCTTAATTCCAACCATTTTCAGTGTTCTGAAGATTCCTTAAACAGCATCTTGCAAACCTACAATCACTACCATCTTGAAAGATAAGGGGAGAACATCACCACCTGCAAGTTTACCTCCCAGCCGCTCACTATCCTAACTCGGAAATGTATTGCCATTTCTTCAGCATCCTTCAACCCCTCACTGATGACATTGTGCATTTGGAGGCCACTAACTCATTATCTTCTCAAGGACAATTAAGGATGGGCAATACAGTCTGGTTCAATCAGTGACAGCCACAACCCATAAATGAATAAAACAAAGAAAAACCTCTATGCCAAGTAAAGCCTTTAGGAAGTATATTTTGAGAAAGATAAAGGGCCGTAGTATTGAGATGTTACTTGATGATGGATTTAATATCAGGCCATAGTAGCCAGCCTAAAACAATTAAAACCTTCAGTTCAGCTAGCTCTTTGTTTATGGCCAGCAAAGTGCAGAAAACCAATAAAATCTATAATAGATGCAGTTTGTGATACTTACCCAAAAGCTGTCCAGCTTTTCTGGATATTTGTGAAGCATGTGACACTAAGGGGTACTGACTATGCATATGCATGAAATCTGTCTGGTTCCAAAGATCACCCAGATCCCAGAACAAAACAAAAGTGAATAGCAAGACAGTGAAATGCGATAACAGGGCAGCAAAGAAGGTGTTAAGATGCACAAATGCTTAAATGAAGTTCAGAGTCCACTAATTGAAAGCTAAATTTCAGAAGATGTTAAGATTTGAATATTGTTCAACTCACACTCCATGTTGACAATATAAGGTAATTGGAATTTTTAAAGCCGTTATTGTAATATTCCTTAAAAGGAAGATCAGCACACTTCAAAAGCTAAAATTGTCTCACAGCATATACTGGATCATCAATTCCAGGCATTGACAGAATCACACCAGTACAAACACTCAAGCTCATCTTGGCTTCCCATAAATCGACTACCTGGTAGACACTAACAGGCCAGTAATGGCAAGCTAAGTGGTATAGTCACAATTCATGACATTCAAACCCATACCCACCATGGTGGAACAGCAACAGATAACACATTTGAATCAGTCAACAAGCTCAAAATATATGATCTTTGAAATGAAATTAAGCCAGGTAACTGCATG